CGTACAAGACGTATAAGATCTTTAATTAAACAATAGTGTCCAACAGTATTGTTTTCAATATATAGTAAATTAAAATGATGTTCTCTCTTATGCTTCGATACATAAAGAGGTCCAGTTACAATATTATTTTGCAAACCATATATATTTACACTCATATTTGGATTGTTTTTCTCAAACTGTTTAATATCATTCATTGTGGGTGGGAATGACATTCCTTCTATATTTAAAACCGAAGAATAATGAGGATATGAACTTGTTCTGCACACGTTATTTTTCGCTGGATATAATCCAGCAACTATACTCCATAGAAAACAACAATCATCTTCATTTTTTATATTAATGCAACTTCTAGAATGTTTAATAGCTGGTGGTAAATCTATATAAGATCCACCCCTCATAGGTGAATACTTATTTATATTAATTTCGAGATGACTCATAGAAACAAACGTCCAACCAGATTGACAGTGTTGGAACTCTGTTAATTTCTCGTTCAATGCATTCATTACTTTAGTTAATAATTCATTCAAATCAGTGTTTTTATAAATAATATTGTACTTGGTATTAAATGACTTTAGCTGCTTTTCTTCTAAAGTTGGTAGCATAAAATATGCAAACAATTCGAAATTAACTTTTATGCAGTTGTGTTTATTTAGTGACATAGTAATCAATTCTGCTATATTGGTTTGGTGATCACTCAGGAACGCCTCTAGACCGAGGTACTCGTCTTCCTGAGTGACATTCAATCTGTATGTCATTATTCTGTTATTGAATGCTGTCGCAATAATATGAATATTTGCGAACTTGGTATTCAATAAACAGTTTGCTTTGTGTATATTAGTTCTCATATGATAGGAATACTGATTTTCTGGAATTAATATTTTACATTTGTCACAGTTTATTTTTCTAGATCTTGACTTATTAGTGAGGTGTGTAGAAGCTGTGAAACAAAGAAAAAAAACAATGATAATAATTATAAAATATAATGAAATAACCAAAAATACATTGAATTACCCTATGAATTAAAGCTAATGCTGGGATAAATGTTATTATATTGTATATAGAGATATAACTATGCATCATGTACCTAATATAAAAATGTGTACAGGAATAATAAATTGATTAACAATAGGTTAAATCGTTAAGTTTCGTAGGATCCTAAGTACGACAGCGGACAATTTTTAAAATCTTTTTGGGTCGCTAAGATGAACTCTTTTATATGGCGCCAAGACTCCTTATCTTCATCCAGTTTAGTTTTTATAGTAGTAATAGCATGCCGCCATCTATTTATCGGCATAATTTTTTTTATTTCTTCGACATCATATATTTTTAACTCGACGTAATATTTTCCTTCTTTCGTCTCACTAATTTGCCGAGAATAGCCCTTCCGCAGCCTTTTCGTAAAATAAGAATGTATAGGTGGGACATTACCCGTTTTGGTAGAGCTCTTAACACATTCATTCTTGTCATCGTCTTCGTCACCGAATAATTCATTGGCCGTAACGCATGCTGGCGGAGAAATTGGGGAGATAGTTGGTTTGGACTTTTTCGAACTAGATCCTTCACTCGACTTGCCGGATCGCTCTCTCTTCATTTTCTTGTCCTCCGACTTCCCCTTCGGCTTCACCTCCGCTTCAGAATCGTCGCTGGAGAGAAAGAGATCGTTGGCGAGTAGCTTCGACCTGTGTATAAATAATATATTATTAGTGCACTGTAATCGATAATTTTATTTTCTACATATGTATAGGTGTTTATGTTGATTAGGTTTCGCTATATCTCTAAATATTTCTATGTATAAATCTAATATTAAAAATTATAAAAATCGATGAACAACAAATACAATGCTTGGTATAGGTACAGACACATAGTCTTAACGTCAAACTAGAATATTCTATCTATGCTACAGAGATAAGAAATAATGATCAGATTAACTATATGTATGTCACAGTTAGACTTGAAACGTTACGAGAATGGAACCCTCGACTGTCCAATCTTTCATAAGCAGTCATAATTATCATTGTGTTATAGTTGAAATAAATTAAAATAATTATGTAACTGGTACTTAGTTTTCATTTTTTTTTTTCAACACAAAGTAGCATATTCGATCTGTGCAGGAATCGAACCTGCATCACAATATTGACGGTCAACATTCGAATACTTGAATATATCAACTAATACATTGCTCTGACCATTTAATAGTTAGATAAATGATTATGAATAGATACTTACATTCTTGATAGGTGTTTAGACAGGTAGCTTGATCAGGAGCTCGGAGAGTTGATCCGTTGTAGAGAGGATTCGTACCAGAGAGGAATTGTACCGGAGACTAATTTGCTATGCGTTTTTATAGGCCTAAAATCACATCATTCAATCCAAATTTGTAAAACTGCATACTTGCAAAAATTGCATACACGAGCGTACAAATCTGAGCGGTTAAGGTTTTAAGCTTAGTGTTATTATATAAGATGGCTTTTACCCATGGCTTCGCCCGCGTTAGTTTTAAATTATCCCACGGGAACTTAATACTGAGATAAAAAATCCTATGTCATATTCCGGGTTATGGTCTATCTGTATGCCAAGTTTCATCGAAATCGGTTAAGTAGTTTTAGAGTTTATTCGTTACAAACATACAAAAATACAAATCTTTCCTCTATATAATATTAGTGTAGATTATTATATGTATAGATAGATAATGTAGACGGATGATGAATATAGATACTTACTTAAATAAACAATAGGGGAATTTCATATTTAGAAAAAAAGTTTGAAGATTGTTGTTTTTTACTGAATGTTTTTGACGTCAGGCGACGGTACAAACGCTGCGGTTTGCACGCTCGCATGCAACTTCTAGACATGTGGAGGAATGGAGATATGACTAGTCAGAATCTCATATTTCGGTATGTAAAAATAAGCTTGTATTTATCTTATAATTTTTTCACAATTACTATGATAACTTATTTGTTTTTATGAAATATAGAAGAAGTTGAACAATTGTATGAAAACGTAAAACGTGTCGATGCTCACTAATTGTAGGTACCTACTACAATAATAATCAGATCGATTAAGTAAATCTTGTGTTTTATTCCAGCATAGAGGTACATCTAAGCTATTAAAAAAATAAATTAATAACAAAAAACTATTTATTTTTAATCTTTATAATAATAATAGCAGGTAAAACCAGGCTTAATAATTGTATGTCGATATTGATCAATTGTTATGATCCGTCTCCTTAAAAAGAATTCAGCTACGTTGCAAATTCGCTAACGCTGATATACTATTAACATACCATGATTTTGCTTGCCAAATCATTTTAATAAAATGTATGAAAACAATAACCGTGAACAAAAATACAGTAGTATTATTTTGTCGATATATATTTTCGATAAACAATAAAATGTTAGGCGTCGTAATGTCTGCGGTTTCAATTTCACCATACCATTTTTGTATAGATATTAACATCTAACAAAAATATACGATATTGAACTCTATGTATTAAAAGAAATAATTAAATTTAAAAATATAAAAGGGGGATATAATAAATTGAAATCCATTTCATCTTTGAATCTGATGGTGAAGACTGAATCAGACTGATATAATTGCGGAATGTCGGTAAGTGTTACTTTAATACATTCACTAACAATTTAAAAATGTATTAATATTAACAATAGTAGTAAGTAGCATCACAGCATTAATTATTTCCACATAAGCCTTTATTTCAATCGTAACGTTTGTAGTGTAACTTAAATTAATATTGTATTGTTATTTCAGGACTCGGAGGATCTCTTCAATTTTGTACCCATGAATCAACCAGTCCAACAAACCACTGGACAGAAGACGCTGGGTCTCGCTCGCAAGAGATCAAAAACAGATCAGACATTCTATCAATTTATAAAGAAGCCTGTTTCTCGTGGAACGAAAATAATAAAAATAGAAATCTATGATACAGACAGTTTTCAAAAATCCGAACAGCCGATGTGTAATTGTGAGGCTGATGTGTGTGTTCAACATGTTGTGAAAACTATATTATACGATGATATATATACCAGTACGAGAGAATTAATTGCCAAAATTCAGGATGACATCGAACCAAGAGTATAGATTTAATAATTTAAAATGTATAGACGTTACCGTTTACCACTTATGTATGTTTAATTTTCTAAAAAAGTTTATGTAAATAATTATAAGTGTACCTATGTAGTAATGAATAGATATCAACTATAAAAATATCAAAAATTGTATATTTAAAATAAAATAATTCAAAATATCATTTTTTATTGCTAACTCATTCTTATACATGTAATAAATAGCCACTGCACTACGTACCTAGGTATATAAGGCAGCGCAATGGACAATAGCGAGAGCATTCCATATTATCATATTCAATAAGTATGATCTTTTTTATGAATATTACTGCCATGCCTGCTATCTTAAAATAATATGTGAATAGAAGATTAAAATGTGGAAAATAGGGTATCCAGATCTCTGATCTGGATGCCCTATTTTCCAACTACTGATACGGACCCTCCGTTATTACACAAGTAACTCTGTATCTAAGCAATAAGCGACGAAAACATTAATATCGCGATCCAGAACGCTTCTTTGTGCCACAACGTACAAAAGGACCAAATGTATTGCGTATGGCAACGCTTTGTACATTTTTGGTCCTTCTGTACGCATATTTTTCGTGAAAATAATGGTTTTAGTAAAACTTTACTACATTTTTTATTAAAATAATCTTATGTATAGTCAATGCTATTTGGAACTAGGTTTAAAAAAATTGTAAGTGACGAGGTTCGATCCTCAGCTTATTTGCGAAAAATTCTGTGATGTCTTGTTCAAGATTCTACAATTCTACTTCAAGATTTTTGTATATTTATTATTTAGTGTACCTGTGTAAGCATAGCTGCTAATAGTTTCTCTAATAATAGTAACTTTGAGTAGTCGTCACTACTTAAAATTACTAAGAAAAATTTAAAGTAATTTATATAAACTTCCAGCCATACCTTTATTTTCAAACTCTTTCCCATAATGCCTGAGTTCCTCATACACTTCAGTCTCCATGTCGTCCTCAGCCGCTTCATGTGCCATGGCCTTGTATAGTTTGCAGGCCACCAGAGACTTGGCCAAGGCTTCCTCACCATGCGTCCACATCAGCAAAGCCATCTGATGTCGTTTTGTTAAAACCGCCCACATCTATACATTTGCATGCCAAAGTGTAATTAGTAAAACATAGTTTTCAATTTTAGCTTTGGTAGAATTATATTCGTAGTATGTAGTGGATTTCATTTGTTCGTGAAGGTATTTTATTTAATAACTCCTTAATTTGAATAATAAGGTATAGATTTTTTCATTATTTGTTTGAAGGTCAGGGCAAGTTTTACAGTTCTACAATGTTTAAGACCGATTAATATAAATACTAAACCTTTTTTTACTTACAAGTAATTCATTAAAAGGATAGTCGAATAGCGCCATCTCAGTGGTGACGGGCATGAAGCCGGTGATGAGGGAGAGTCCACCAGCGTTGTGTCTGGTGAACGAGGCACTGTTCCGGTGAACGTTCACACTCTTGTTCATCACCTTCGCGTAGATCGGACGGAACTTACGTCTTGTGTAGTAACATCTGTTGAGAATAAAATGTTTTAACGAATGCAATAAACTATGTAAATAAAGATTATTATAAAAAAAACTCCCAACAAAGAAACTTAATAAAATCTCTTAGAAGAACAAATATAACAAGCAGAATAACCTTGAAGTTTTATGACAATTTACATTGGCAATGTAAGAGACGTTTTAAGAAATAACGGTAGATAATATCTAAGTAAAGTAACAATACTGTTTAAAGCTTTTTTCTGTATTGCACTTGAAGATGTATATTTACAGTTGACTTGAAAATTACTTAACATAAAGTTTTAGGATTCAGTTTTTATATAAAAGTTACTACGTATAAAGTGGAATAAATAAAAGACTTACCTATAGGCACCACCCATAAGCTTGTTGATAACAAGTCCAATATCATGAAGGGTATAAACGTAGCCCCTCGGTAAGTGTGGCCTGACATCTCTAAGAATATACCTCAGCGTATTACTGGGTCCACTCTTTGTGTTATAAAGTTCTTCTAGCCGAGGTATGGTTAAGAATTTGCGCATTGAAACACCATTTTCAAGTAGCAGCTTGACGAAGTCTATACGATCATGTTCTAACGCCTGCATCATAGCCTCGTCGAGAGCACCTGGAACAATCAAGATTATATGATGAGCAACGTTTACTACAAAAAAGAAAATGACTTTTTCAGGAGGGTTCTCAAATGACTTCTCCAATCAGAGAATGTCAGACCCTCACTGGCTAAAAACCAACTCGTTTCTTATCCGGCCTTGGGCCGGGTCCGTAGAATATGATTGCGTTTGTACTCGCTACCCTGGCTAGTCATCGAATAGTCTGATGGTAAGTAATCAGGGTCACCCCAACTATCTATAGGGAAATTGCAAGTACGTTGCTGACCTTAAGCAATTGAGGATATGACGATTGGGGATGAGCTGAGAATTGGGGCTACCGTTCACTCACTTACACGACATTTCACAGTATTTAGAAGTAGAATAATTAGGATAAATGTCCCATCAAATCTGACGTAACACACATAAACACACAGTTCGAATTCCAATTTAGTAACTACGTTTAATTACAAGAAACTGTGTCGTTGAAATGCTTTGTATAATTGTAATTACAGCCAGTAATGGTATTATTTTCCTATACTGGCATTTAGCTTTAATTGGGACCTAATAGTCCCTATTAAAAAGCTATGGATACCTGATTAATAACGTTTTCGATGTTCAAAATAAGATACGAACTTTTTATTCTAACTCTCCCATAACGGGCCTGCTAGAAGAGATGTCTGAAGAAATAAGCTGTGCCTTTGTACCTAATTGTTGTATTATTTTTCTTGTCCAACTTACTGTGTGTACAAAAAATATTACATAAATAAATACCATTAACAAATGATAATATAATAATTATAAACCTGTTGGAGATGCACCTGCGGAGCTGCAGTATATTATTTGTTGAATCGGTTCTTATCGCAAAGTTCAATTTGAGATAATAATATATCTCAAGGTCAGGTAACATCTTTATTCATATACAACTTAATATGCACATACATCCACTAAATTTTTGCAGATGCAGCAATCGGGCTATGAATGAATTTTAGGAAGGAATCTAGCGAACAGCCAGTTCAGCTACCGCACTGCTCAACGATGGATGCCATTATGCGCATGGGATGATGGCATACGTCGTTAGGCGTTGGATGGCACTGCAGTCTCTAGACATCGCCAACGCCTTTGACTGGAGCTGCAATCTGGAGGTATTCCGGTATCACTGGGTGCCCTGCTTAGCTCTGTTGTGTAGTTCGGCTCATCTGACGAACAATTCCATAATTTTCCCTGGATACCGGGGTATGTGTAACCAGCGAGATATGTCGCGCGATGTTCCACAACGATCGCTAAAGAATGTGACATTCTAAGCGCCACAATTATAAAATTATTTTTTCAATAAAATTAATTTAATTTCTTCAGTTGTGTTTTGAAATAAAATCGTGGCGGATTGTTAAAGATGTAGTCGAGTAATACTTGATTCAAGATCCGTAATTGACCGTGCCCCGTACAAGAACGCAGGTAGTGCAATATTAGCGCCGTGTTTTTATTCTTAGGTTTTATATTTTGCTCAGAGGTGGATTGTATCGCAGAATGAAGTTATTTATAAAATAATTAATAATAAACGTTCAATTCAATTTTTTTTATGACATTAAATATGTTGGCAAACTCCTAGACGGACTAGCTGATGGTAAGCAATTAACGCCGGCCATGGACACTCTTAGTATCAACGGTGTACTCTTGTGGCTTATTAGGGATCTACAATTAAGGATAAAAATTGAGGGTGGAGTGGGGAGAGGGAGGGGGGGAAGAATTGGGCTTCCGGGAGGGGTTCCCGGGACTCACACAGTGAAATTCAACGTAAGTACTGCACGCCGGTTTTTTTTAAGGCCGTGGTATTACTCCAGTCGCGCCGGCCCATTCGTGCCAAAGCATGACTCTCCCACAGTTAAATTTCCTAGTTTTACACGGCAAGTTTATTTAGTTTTATCATAATTTTAAATTAAGATTGGACCCCTTTTTATGGAGAGAAACAATAAAGTCTGTTACGGTAGCATAAAACGTTTGACTACCTCGTTGATCTTAAGAGCGAATGACTTTCGGAATTTGATTATTTTTTTTATATTTGCATAGTCATCTTTCGATGTTAATAAAGAGACAGCAGTTATTCCTTTATAGAAATCGTGTAATATGAACAGTCTTTAAAGGCTAAAATCGGGTGGTAAATCATCAAAGGAAGACTACTTGGCACTATACCGTTTCAAATAACGCGATCCTAAGTCGCGAAGATCTCATCAATCTACGATTGCAACTTTGCAAATTCTCGATTGGATCCATTTATTTATCGGCTCTGCGATTCAACTGTGGAGCATTCAATAATAAATTGATTTAGAGCAAAATTTACGAGATCCCGGCTTTGTTGTTCATTCTAATTTACGTGTGGCTGTTGTGTTTTTAGTTAGCGGAAGTGTTATGGATCAATGTGTGAATTTCATGCAGTTTTTATTTAGAATATGAAACTGTCGTTTCGTAAAATATTTGTTTTGTTATTAGAATATTTTATGTTACAGGAAAAAGGGTGGTGGTGTATAAAACTATTTTTCATTTCAAATAACTTATCTGTTTTATAGCTAACTGATCGCTAGCTATATGATCTAAAACCAAGTTGTGCACAATTAGTAAGCGTTAACCGAACTAAGTAAACGATATTCTCAGTTATAGTTCGCATTCTAGAATTCCTTTCGGAGCATTGCAATAGATTCAATAGAATTAGGCGGGGTTCTATCTACTCTATCGAGGAGTGGTAAGCTTGTCCTATGTTTTTCTTTTAGGAGGCCCACCAAGGGTGAGTAAAGGCATTTCAATCTCCTCCTCTCCTCTCGAGAGGGAATGACAAACTCTTACTGACTAAAAACTATCCTGTTCCTTCTCATTATTACTTGTTGTATGTTACAATATTATTCATCATCATCATCATAAGCTTATAAGTTCCCACTGGTGAGCAAAGGCCTCTTCTCACACGGAGAAAGTATGATCGTTAATCAAAACGCTTGCTCAATGCACATATTGTTACATCAAGCTCAATAACATTCCGAAGTTCCTGTACGGGATATTAGCCCAGGTTTTCTCACGATGTTTACCTTCACCGTATGCCATTGGTGTCTTAATAATCATAGAAAGTACATATAACTCGGAAAAAGTCACATTTGAACATAATTGCCAGGTTTCGAACCCACATCCTTATGCGTCGGAGGCGGGCTCCTTAACCTCCGGGCCACCACGACTTATTAACACATTATTACAATATTATTAACTTCCCTTTTCTGTAATTTAATAATATAATATGATCAAAATACACCGTCTTGGTTGCGCCGGTAGTACAATTATCTGACTCAAAACCCTTTTCAAATATCCCGTACAGGAACTTCGGAATGTTATTGAGCTTGATGTAACAATATGTGCCCTAGTTTCCGACCCACAAGTAGTAATTCATTTGCGTTTCATTCTCGTATAAAAACAGGTACATATTGTGGTAACAGGTTACTATATATTGGCTACCTATTCCATACTTTTTTTTTTTTTTTTTTTGTCAGAGGAAAATTATCCAATGACTTCTCCCGCCCAGGGTAAGGCGAGAGAGAGTGTCAGACTCTTACTGACTAAAAACCCCCCCGTTCCTTCTCCTGCTCTGGCCCGAGGTCGCGGTGCCTCATTGCGCTTACCCCGCAGCCCCGGCTATTCCATACTGGTACTGAATATTTTACAAGTATCGATCCAATGTACTGCAAGTAATAACATGAACGCAGCAATTAAAACTTAGTCACATATCGAAGTAACTATTGCTTTCATTGAAGTATTCCGTTATTTTTAAGTTAATGGCTTCCGTTTCAATAAATGTGTAATTTCTTGAAAAGCCATTTTGTGATACGAATAAAATATTCAAGCAATTTCTTTTCTTTCTGTTATTGTAAGCTGATAATTCTATATTCATATCTGTACCAGCTGTCAGTAATATACTTGATTTTATTAAATCCATAAAAACAGGCATGTTGTTATTCTTGAAAAAGGTGGATAAAAGCGACCTTTCAGTACAGAAAGGACAACAAGTATGAATGGTAAAATCGTTTTCAATCTAAAATTCTCCATTTCGAGTAGATATTTATTTACTTATTATTTGCTGCGTTTTCTTTTTTCCATTGAAAATAATGCCTTAAATACGTGAATTAACTGAGTAAAAATTTAGTACGTCTCACGATAGCTACTGTTCCATCTGATTCTTTCAAAAAAAAAAACTTTACCCCAACCCCCCTTATTGGGATTTTCTTCTGTGTCGTTGGTGCGTTTTAAAACGCAACTTTACATACACATCACATTTAGACCCGGAACAATTATTTGTGGATCGCACACAAGTTGTGCCGTGCGGGAGTTATACCCGCGATACGTTGCGAGGCAGCCCTTAGCAAAACCACCACGCAAACCGTGCAGCCATATATCATCATATTATTGAGTTAAAAATTTTGAGTAATCACAGAAGCTTTGTTAATCAAAACTAATACAAATTACAAAACATTACATAAACTGGGAATCTAGCCTTCAATTTAATGTAACTTCCATTGGAGTTCGACATGTTACAAAAAGCCGCTATTTCTAAGGCGATGTGTTTGAATAGCGTTGAATATACAGCAGTTCTACCTGAGACCACTTCTTCAGCGTTAGGGAAACCGACAGCCACATTAGTTACTTCACTGGGAAAAACATTGCCTTTATATTATACTAGAACTTTGTAAAATGTACTTTTAAGAATGTATAAAAGAAACTTAATAATGATTTAGATACTTTCTTCTTTGTATGTTTATATAAATAGTATTTAGTATTATTTTTTTATGTAACAGGTCGGCAAACGAGCATACGGATTACCTGATGGTAAGCAATCGGCGCCGCCCATGGACAACGCAACGGAGGAGTTACTAGTTGCCAACCTTTTAGAAATTAGGGATTTGGAGATTTAGGGACTGGGCAAGGGGAAGGATTAGGTCTCCGTTAACCTCACTCACACGGCGAAACACAACGCTGTGGTTGTTTCACG